TGGGGCAGCTCAGGTGGGAGGCAGTCTGGGGGGGGGCATCCTAGTGGGAGGTATGGGGTGACTCAGATATGGGGTGACTCAGATACAGGGCTCAGGTGGGAGGCAGACACCAAGCTGGTGGCTTGCACACCTGACTGCATCCTCCTCTCTTCCGGTCCTCCCTAGGGGCCACCACCCAGTGTGCTCGGCTTTCCTGGCTATGGCCTGAGTCAGAGGGGGCCAGGATTCTTGGGTAAGGTGACCAGACATCCCGACTTTTAACAGTTTTTCCCGCGTCCCGCGGCATTTTTAAAAAGTCCCGATTTTTGGAAAGAATGTACCACAAGCTAGGGTATACGGTTTTCGGCTGCCATGTGGCTATTTCACCAGGCTATGAGTTTTATCAATGGCGTCCTGCTTTTGTCCCACTTTACCAATGTTAAAATCTGGTCACCTTATTCTTGGGGCCCCGTGTCTCTCAGCTCCATGGTTGAGAGTCCAGGTCACATTTTGTAAACTTTGCCTTGAAGACGGAGGGGTCTGCTGTTGTGACGCAGCCAAACCGCAGCTGCAAGGCCCAGGAAGGAGGCTGCCATGCCTGCCTTGGGTCTACTCGAAGTCCCCAGGCTGGGTGGGTTGGCCGTGCTGACTTCCCACCTGAGGCCCTTGGCCACCTTGCTGCCTGAGCTGTCCACAGAGGAGTTGGAGCCACAAGGAGGATGGCAGGAGTCTGAGAGCTGGGCATGGGCAGGGCAGGGCCCCAGGCAGCTCGGCTCTGGGGAGGGCTGGGCTGTGGCAGGTGGCAGCCAGCATCTCTGAGCTTCAGTGTCATTGCAAAAGGCCACCGATCCCTTTGGTGGCCCACCTCCTGCTTAGGGGATGCTTGTGAAAATCACTTCAGCAGTCCCGTGCCACGTGATCTTAAACCATGGGGCCCTTTACCCGAATGTCACCTCTGCTCTCTGTGACAGGGGTGGGGGTGTAACCAGGAACTGGGTAACCACCAGAAAACCAAACTCGCTGCCTGAGGGTCTATTTCACCTTCTATCACCCCATAAGTTCCTCAGCCGCCATGGCAGAAGTCCATTCTGACTCATAGTGACCCCCTAAGGCAGGGAAAACGCCCCCCGGGAGTGTCCAAGACGGTAACTCTCTATGAGAGTAGAAAGCTCAGTCTTTTTCCTGAGGAGCATCTGGTAGTTTAGAACCGCTGACCTTGCGGTTCACAGCCCAATGCGTACCCATGACTCCTAGTCCCGTAAAGATGGACTGTCTCAGAAATCCACAGGGACAGTTCCACCCTGTCCTGCCAGCCCTTAGGCAGGTAGACCTGTTCCCGTGTGCTTCTGAGCCTGTGAAGTCTTTACCGGAGTTTAAGAAAGCCCCACCTTTCTCCCGAGCAGCAGCAGCTGGTGGCTCAACGTGTGACCACTTAACGTCAGCACTTCTGAATGCCATCTTCCAGCCCCAAGGTGACATTGCTGGGAGGAGCCCCAACTGTGCACCCAGCCTCCACAGGAGACCCGAGAGGGGAGGGGCGGGCTGTGCCCTGGTCGTCATGGCTGCAGGCAATGGCTTCCTTGGTGTCTCACCGTGGCCCTCACCAACAGTGACCGAGCCAGGGGTGCAGAGTGGCTCCTGGCCCCAGGTGCCCCGAGGGTCTTGGCAGACTGCATCCTCCTTGGTGACATGGGACTGCCGTCTCCACCCTGGGCTGCGGTCACCTTCTCAGACCTGCCAGGGCCTCAGACTCCTCTTCCTCTCTGGGTTCTGGGATTTGAAAAATGAGTTTCAGTTCGTCCCTGCAGGCATCCTGGGCGAGGCTGACTGCCGGGTGGGTGGGCAGCAGTGGGCGGTGCCCCCTTAACCATCCGGACAAGGGTGCTGGCCTCCAGGTGAGGTGGGGGACCAGCTGGCTCCACAGTCCATCTCGCCAGCCTGGCTGGAAGGAAGGCCAGCTCAGGAAGGGCCAGAGCTAGGAGTCGGTCTCCTTGCTCCTGGTCAGCCACAGGAGGGGCTGTTTCCAGCCAAAGGGGTGGCAGCAGCAGGCCCAGGGAGGTCATCGTCTGGCAATGCCGGCCTCAGAAAGGAAGAGCCACACTGCAGAAGAAGGATGCTGCAGGTCCAAGGGGGTCCTGGCCCGCTGGAGGGCAGTGTGTGGATGGTCCCGCCCCACAGGCAGGGTGGACGTCCCTCCGGTGCTGATGACACTCTGGCCAGTTTTCTAAATGCCAGCGATGAGAACAAGATAGACACTGCCACACAAGAGAACCAGGGATCTTTCACCGCGGAGGAAAGGAAGGGCTTTTCCCAGGATGGGTGCCCTGTCACCCAAAGGACCCTCGTCTTCTTCTGACCAAGTGGGCAGCATTGGCCCCCAGCACCGGCAGGGGGCGCTCAGTGCAGGGACCACTTGCAGAGGGACCTTCTGGTTAGGGAAAATCAAGGGACCACACAGTCTCATCTCAAGATTTCTCTTTATTTCATGTTCTTTTAGAACGGCAACCACCGTGACCGGCCCGCCCGGGGCCCTGCCTCCCTCTTGTCCACATCTCATAATGACCCCCCCACCCCGAATCCCAGTTGCTTCTGGTTTTCTGTGGTCTTCACGTTGCGCATTGATAGGGCGTCTCAGTTCAGAAAGCAAGGCACTATCACTGTTAACAGCTAAGGACGCATCCTTTTACGGAGTGCACAGCATTTCGAATACAGTGTGGTTCTCGTGCGGAAGATCAAGTTCCGATCACCCAAGGCACACACTTTGTGGGGTTTGCTCCTTAAACCTCCCCCCCCCCTGCCTGTTTATTTGCAGACTCGTAGTATGAAAAGTTTCAGGTGTTTCCCAATAAAACTTCCAGAGTAAAAGCAACGGACGGTGATGTGCGTGACGTAGGACACGGAGAGCACACACAAAGCAGAAAAACAAACACAAACACACCCCAGATGGCAAAGGCCGAGAAACGTAGAACGATGTAACAGGGACAGCGGGAAACCGAGTCAGGGATACAGCGGGGATTCCCGACAGAAGTGATCAGTCCGCTGACGCCAGGGACACGAGTTCAGAATTCCCACTCCCCACCCCACCCCATGCCCACATTCCTCCCACTGAGCAGGGGCTGGCTGTCCCAGCTGCCCATGGTGGTTCTCCTGCCCCCCCCAATTCTTAATTCCTCACCTCAATGGATTATCTACAAACGCAGAAAGACGGTCCGGTAAGTGGGTGATGAACATCAAACCAAAGAAAACAGCCTTCCCACCCTGCCTGCCTCTTCTCTCACCAAGCAAACTCCACAGGCTCCTCTAGGAAGGGCTTGGGGGGAGCCATAGACCCCAGGGGGAGGTGGGGGAGGGCAGGCGTGGCTAGAGGTCTGGAAGGCGCCATCAGACAGGAAGGGGCGAGGGCACACTCCCAGAGACAGGAGAGGGGACCCTTCCGTGGGCGTGGAGATGCTCAGGACAGGTTCTCCCTGCTGCGACTCGACCAGCCCCAGGGCTGGAGTTCATGGAAAGGCAGAGCCCCCGACCCTGGAGGGACAGTGTGGGACAGAGTAGAACTGCCCACCCCCCACCCCAACATCCCCAAAGCTGCCGGTCACCTGGACGCCAGCAGACCCCCTCATCTTGCTTCTGGCCCAATGGCCGGCTCGTGGTTTTGAACAGCCAACCTCTCCATCCGCAGCTGAGCACCCTTCACCACTTCCTGAAAGCCAGTCCCTGTCCTCCTGGCTCCGCAGCAGACACAGGGTCTCGGCTCCAAGTGCTTACCAGGGCGTCTTGGCCTTTGTGTGTCTGGGGGAAGGCAAGGCCTCTGCTCTGGAAGGACCACACCCCAGGACCCACAGACCATCCAATCCCAGGAGTGGGCTGGGGCCTTCTCGACTGCTCAGGAAGTCCCAAGCACAAGGTAGACATGTAGCATAAGCCCTTAACTCAGGCCGTGAGTGAAGGCCAGCCAGCCGACAGAGAGCAGCCCTTGTCCTCTAAGAAGGAAGGCTCCGAGGTGAAGGCTTCACACCTTACACTAGATCGCAAGTTTGGCAACTCTACGTGTGTGCGATTCAGTTTCCACCGTTTGCAATCAGAACCACCGCCTTAGTGCAATTTTATTTATTACTATTGTTTTTTTACAGTAATTTTGGTTCCGTACAAGAGATTTAAGGATTGGGAGAAAGTGCGATCACAAGAGCTTTGTTTTTGCCGTGTGTGGTTTTTGTTTTTTTTTTGCTTTTCTTTTTTTTTAAGTCAAATCTAAAAAGAATCAAAGCACAAAACTAACGGTAATGGAGATGGGGGGCAACGTGTGGTCAAGTAAACTGTAGTGTGAGACACGTTCGTGCCTAGAAATGAAAAACCCGCACTTGCTGTGGCTGTTCACGGGGGAAATCCGTTATCTGTGGCCTCTTCCCCAAACTCACACACATACACACAAGGGGGCTCCCCCTATCAACTGGGCAATGCTCGCTCCTCCCCGGGGTGCCCAGGAAATGGAAAATAAAAGAAAGAAAAGTCACCATTTTATTCCCCCAAGTGCCACAAGTCACCAGCTTTGTGCTGTGTGAGGTTCAGCAAACCTACGGTCACACGGAGTCGCCTTGATCGGATAGAAAGTAACTCACACTGTGCGCAGACACCCGCTCCCGCCCCCCCCCTCACCGGGAGGAGGTATCCGGGCAGGGAATACATCATGTACATCTGGAGAGGTTTTGGTTTGCGTATACACAATTATTACAGAAACTCGGCATGTAAATGCAATTGCCTTAAGTTACAGTATCTAACAAGAGTTGATCTTAAAACCTGGGATACTGTGGACATGGGCTCCGCCATGAAGGGGGTCATGGAGTATGGGTTCCCCCACCCCCTCTACAGAAGGGGGAGAACAGTGGGTGTCAACGGGCACGAGGGACTATTGCTTTCTGTACCCAAACCATCACTCTAGCTGGGGTCCCAGCCACCCTAGGCAGCATGTGTACCTAGCCGGTCCGAGAGGCCCCGCGGCCACTGGCCCACAGCAGGCCATGTGGGTCCCACGGGCGGCACGTGGCTCAGTTGCTTTTAGAAAAGGAGCAACGGCCGGCCGGCCATCTCACGGGGTGGTCCCAGCCCAGCAAGCCGGACGACTCCGTGCTGCGGTCGGTGGTGACTCCCTAGCTTTACCTAGCTTTTGCCTGATGCCACTTGGGGCCAAGGTGGGCGGGGCTGGGGGGGGAGTGGTCTACTTACTGAATTTTGCAACACCGTCCAATGGAAGACAGGTAAGGCAGGGCCACTGTGTTATACCTGCTCTGAACCAGTGGGTGGAGTCTGCTGTCCGCCCCCTCTCCAATCTTGGCTTGTGGGTTCCCTAGAACAAACGATTCCTTCCGTGGAATGGGGGTGGGGGGTGGGGGCAGCCACTGAAGCTCCAGAACATTCCATCGGAACATTTCCAGGGAGAGTGGGATCATTCCAAATACAAAGGTTGACCTGCAAAAAGGCTTTGGACCAGAGGTAGGTCCAGAGATGATGTTTTTCAAGCCAGGGACCTGTGGCTGGAAGTGTGTGTGTGTGTTGCGTGTGTGTGTGTGTATGTGTGTGCGTGTGCGCGCGTGCATGTGGTGCGCGCCACACGTGGGTTGGCTTTGTTTTAGGAGACACTGGCTGCAGTGTGAACCGTCACCACGTTTGGAGAAAAGAATTGTCCTTTGATGACCAAGTTCTTGCAAAGGTAGAAAATATAGCACAGCTCTGCTGGTTCCGATGCATCCAAGTAAGGTGGATTTAAAAAGGTCGTACTTTTATCATTATTCCACAGAAATAGTATTATTAAATCACAAAAAGTTTTTTAAATTTTTTTTTTAGGTTTTTCTTTTTTTTTTCCTCTTTTACTTTCTAGCACTGAAGTGGCACAAAGGTGGCCCAGTAGACCAGCCACTTTTTTTTCTCTTAAAATATTGTGCTTATGAACTATCTGTACAATGATTTAAACTTGCAGTAAAGAAAAGAGAGTTTTAAATTGCTAAGTGTTACCAACTCATTCCAGGGCTGTCCCAGACCTAATCAGACACTTTATTGTGAGCATAAGGGAAGAAAGAAAAAGGAAAGAAAGAAAAGCAGTGTATAATTAGAGATGGGCTGGGCGAGTTCTGAATTTGCCATGACACCAGAGGCCCTGACTTCTGAGAACGTTCCAGATGTGGGGGAAGGTGCTGGAGGTCCGACGGGGCTGGTGTTCGGTGCAGGGATGGCAGGCAGTCTCCCGGGGGGAACTAGAGGTATTGTTACAGGGGAGGGGGGCTCCCAGGGGAAGAGGGGGCAAGGCTCTCAGGCAGCCTGATTGGTGGCCGGGAGACCTCCCTGTTCTCGTCACCTGCTCAGAACACCCCCCCTGCTTTCTGCCCCCCATCTGTTCTGAACCCGGGTCCTGCAGCCACTCCATGCCCAGTGGTCCTCCGAGGACCTGATAGATCGCTAAGATGCTCTCGGGTGGGGATTCCTGGACATCCAGAGAGAAAGGGGGACTGTAGGACAATCTGCGCTGGTCTCAGCCAAAGGCCATCTCCCAGGGCTCAGACCACTGTGCCCACTGCTGTGTCCACAAGCCCCACGAGGACAGTGCACCCGCCTTCAGCCCTCGCGAGCCCCCGCGCCCGCGGGATGCTCTCTGTGGCCTGGCTTGGCAGAGCTCACCCCCGGGAGGCTGGAAGGCAGAGAAGGCCGGCCCTCCTCCCGCCCCGTGGCAGGGTCCCCCTTCCTCCCGGGATCGTGACTAACTCCGCGTGGCATCGGGTTGACCCACCTTGGAAAGACGTGAGTAGATTTGCAGAAACGCAGAAAGAAAGCAAAGCCAAGTTGGACACAATCCTATCCACCAGGGCCAGGACCTCAGGGCCGGGACCCTCGGGGTGTAGAGTTGAGGGGGCCCCAACAACACTTCTCTGCCTTTCAGGCCTGGGGGGGCACCCCACTGACCCAGTGGTGTGTGTGTGTGGAGGCCCACTGCCCACAAAGTACAGGAAGGAGCTCTGAGCAATGGAAGTGCCCGGGAGGCCGAGGGGGACCTGGGAGGTATCGGGAGTACACAGGGGTCTGCTTACAAAAGCCAGGACCCCTGTGCTCAGGCATCATTGGAGCCACTGGGACCCAGCCCAGGGGGGGCCACCTGCGTGCCATGAATCTCTGCGTGTCGGCAAAGCCCCCTCCCCTTGTCCCTGCAGGACAGGAACAGACCCCCTTCCGAGAGAGCAGGGGAGGTGCTGCCACACGGTGGGTGCACTTAGTGCTTCTTTGGGTACCAGAAGACAAACTAGTGGGAGGGGGTCGGCGCCCACCGACCCAGCTCGGCGGCCGGACCTCTTCCATCCCAGCCCATCTCTACTTATAAAGGAGACGTCCGTGCGTGTGGGCCAGCCCGGCTGCCCCTATCTGTCCAGCAACTGTTTCAGAGCCCTTTCGAGGTTCATCCTGTGTCCGACCCGGGTCACTCCCAGGTCGATCAGGTCCTCCTTCTGCAGGTTGGGCAGGTGGCTGCCGTCGATCTCGTTGTCCAGGAAGGTCTCCTTGTGCTCCCCCAGGTTGAGACTCTCCAGCCAGTCGGCCACGTCCGGCTTGGTCCACAGGTGGACGGGTTTAGTTGTGAAAGGCTTATTTGAGATCGGCTGCTGCAGGATCGAGGGGGACGGGGACCGGCTGCGCCCCGCTGGGTTCAAGCCGAACAGGTCCCCGGAGGGGGGCTGGCTCGGCGGAAGGCTGAAGACGACGTCTGAGAGGGTGGGGGAGGGCGAGGTGGCGGCGCTGGCGGCCAAGGGCGGGCCGGGCAGGAGCTCTTTGCTCGGCTCCGTGGGCGAGACCACAGGGCTCGGGGCGCGTCTCGCCCCTGAGGTACTTCTTTCGCTGTCGGGGGGCCGGCTCTGCAGGGTGATGGGCTGGGAGGTGCCGGGGCGGACTGTGAAGGTGACGGTGGTGTTGCGAGTGCCTGAGACGGTGCTCGAAATCTCTGAGCCTCTGCCGCAGCAAGAGAGAGAGGGAGAGAGAGAGAGAGAGAGTGAGGGGCCAGGCCGCCATGGAAGCACCTGGCCGGGAACTTGGGGAGAGGCCCACGCCATACCAGCGCATCCAAGGGCAGGTGCCTTGGATGGGAAGAGGAGGAGGAGGGGGAGGGGAGGGGGAGGGGGAAGCGGGCCTCCTGAGCCCATCAGGCCAGGCTGCTCACCTGGACACCAGGGGGGAGGGGCTGGTGCCCGCTGGGGGAGCGGGGCTCAGGAGCAGCACATGCGGGGAGAGCACCTCTGGAGCCGTGGCAGCAAGTGGCAGGTGTCGGGGTGCAGGGAAGGACCTCCCTGGCACCCCACACAAAGGTGTGGGAACACTCAGCACTTGGACAGATGGCCCTCAGCCCAGACAGCAGCCGGGACTCAGGAGTCAACAGCGTCCTCACACAGGCCCGAGAAAAGCGCCCCTCCCTCACAGCGTCCAGCGAGGCTGACAGAGGGGGTGGGGCACCAACTGGACTTCAAAGGGACCCTTCCCCACGTGGTCGAGCGAGTCCTTGGGGCAGGAGTGGCAAGTGGAGTCTGGAGGCGGATGCCGGGTCCACCGGGGTCTCATCTTAGACCCACAGGTTCCCTGATGTTTTTATACTCACCTGAGGGACAGCCTGACTATCCCTCCCTGCTGGCTCTGGACAAGGCCCAAGGCAGGCTCTCAGCTGCACACCAGGAAGACACTGTGCCCAAGGGCCCTGGTTCCTGCTCTGTGCCGCCCACCCTCCTCCCCTAGAGAAAGCCGCCGCCACCAGACGGGGTGGTGGGTAGTTGAGTACTCCTCCCTCGAAGACTCATTCCGGGGTTGTGTGTGTGTATGTGTCTGTATCTCTGTCTGTGTGTGTTTCTATGTCTGTGTGTGGTGTGTATCTGTGTGTACGTGTGTGAGAGAGAGAGAGAGCGCGAGCGAGTTAGCTGCTGGCTTTGGCTAACACCAGCCCACCTCTGAGAGCCCACTTCTTCCTGCTGGCCCGGAGGCTAGTCCCTCTGAGGGGGCTGCCATGGGCAGGAAAGACCAGGGTGTGACCTGGGGAGGGCCGACAAGCTGGGTGGGCTGCTTAGTGAGGAGGAAGCTGAGCGCTGGCATGTGGGGATCCCAGGGGGCAGAGCGCCAGCCAAGCTGCCCTGGTGTGAGGTGGCCTTCTGACGTCTGGTGAAACCCGCCCGGGAGCTGGCCTGAACCAGATGTGAGCCACCTCGTCTGCTGTGGACGCCCCTGGCACTCGGCCACATGGGGGCTTCCGGAACCACTGGTCAGTCCTGCTGTGCTGACTGGCCTGGAAGACCCACCGCATGCACCAAGCTCACGGCCCCATGAGGCTAAAGGAAGGAGGCAGGAGGCTGGTCCTGAGGGGCCAAGCCGGGGAGCCCCTTTCTTCCTGGGCAGGTTGCTGGCTTTCTATGCCACTGGCCTGTGTTTGGGTACACACTCTAGTTGGTCACCCAGGCCCCCAAGGCCTTGCTGGCCCCAGGGGAGCCTCTGAGGGCTCCTGCCCGGCACCAGGCAGAGAGACTGGGCAGCGAGGCATGGGCACCAGCCAAGTGGATGCTGCAGCCATTCTGGGCTTGAGGCAGGGTCTCGGTCCATGAGGGTAGCCTGTCTCCCTTTGCCACCAGGGAGAAGGCCGGAACAGAATGGTGACCGCCAGCAAAAGGGGCACGGGTGATGACCACGGGGGTGGTGGTGGTGGTGGGAGATGGGATAAGTCTCCTGCAAGACAGCTTGGCTCAGCTGAGTCGGGGGTGGGGGGCTGGTGAACCCCTGGTCTGCGCTGTGGAGAGCTGACTCGACGTGGTACTTTGGGGGCCCCCCAGCCCAGCGCGGCATGGCCAGAGAGTGGCCTGGCTGCTCACGGGGCATCATGAAGCTGAGACCAGCGGGTTCCTCCCGCTGAGGTGTCTGAGACTGCACTCAACAGTGGGTCTCCGGGAGCCCCACACTGGAAGGCTGCAAGAGGGGGGACGGATTTTCAGAGAAGGTCCCAGCAGGCAGCCAAAAGGAGGCTCTGCACGCCCCTGGGCAGGCGGGTGGCGAGGGCTCGCGACAGAAACACACAGCGGAGGGCAGGCACGCACGCACACACGCACACACAGGGCAGCTGGCAACTTACTTCCGGTCAGCATGACCCTCTTCTGTCCACACCCATCGGGGAGCAAGCAAAGGGACAAATGGAGTGGCTTGAGACAACACTGTAAATGGACGAAGAGAAACACACACAGGACAAGACGCATCTGGGCACGGTGACAGGACGTGGCTGAGCCCCGCCCTTCCAGACACACAGACAGGCGGAGGGTCCAGCCCACACCAGGGCCCACCGCTCTCCTCCTGTGAACGCGGACAGGCCACCTCTCCCTCCCTGGCCGGGGCCCAGGACGTTGACGAGGAAGTGAGGTTGGCGTGACTGTGACCTGGCAGGGGCCACCACCGCCTGGCCGGGCTCCCAGCTGGCCTTCCTCTGCGGCTCATGAGGCACCAGCCCACCCACTGCATGGTCAGGGAGGGTCTGGCCTCCAGTTGGCTGCAGGGGCAGCTTGCCACAGGGGGCAGCAGAGTCAGCCTCACACTCGCCTCGGGGGTGTGTGTGGGTGCCAAGGCCCTTGCTGGGCGGTGCCAGGGAAGGAGAGGGGACAGCTGAGTACAGGTGGCCCTGGGCTGCCCCTGGCCTTCAGCAGTTCCGCAGATGCTGTGCTGGTCACCCACTGACTGGACTCAGGGGACGCCCTCCAGTGCCAGATCACCAGGCTGTTGAGCAACTGGCCGGACATGTAGGGAATGGCCACCCCGGCTGGGAACACACACATACCCTCTCTCACACCCACACGTACTCTCACACTGACTGCCTCACACTCTCACACTCACTCATAGTCTCACACTCACAGACTCCCCCCCACTCACTCACAGACTCACACACATACCCTCTCTCACTGAACACACTCACTTTCTCTCACACTGACTCCCTCACACTCTCACACTCACTCACACTCACTCACTGACTCACTGAACACACACACATACCCTCTCTCACACCTCACACTCACTCTCTCTCACACTGACTCCCTCACACTCTCACACTCACTCACACATACTCTCACACTGACTCTCCCACACTCCCCCACACTCACACTGACTCCCACACTTTCTCACACATACTCTCTCACACTGACTGCCTCATACTCTCAAACTCACTCATACTGTCACACTCACAGACTCCCCCACACTCACTCACACTCACTTACCCACACTCACTCACTCACTCACTCACTCACACACACATACTCTCACACTGACTCCCCCACACTCTCACACTCACACGGACTCCCCCACACTCTCACTCACATACTCTCACACTGACTCTCCCACACACTCACACTGACTTCCACACTCTCTCACACATACTCTCTCACACTGACTCCCTCACACTCACTCACATATACTCTCTCACACTGATTCCCACTTTCACACTCACTCATGCTC